AATTTTTTTTTCTTTTTTTTTCCCCCCCCCCCCCCCCTCCTTTGGCAGTTAGTTGAATACTCAGCTCAGGGGAAAGGCAGGTATGCCTCAACCTCAGTTTGATCAGTGCAAGCCGCAGCGCTGCTCCAAAGTAACACTGCACTGCTTTTGATATGATTCTTACTTTTGGAACCTCTGTGCAGGCATATCTCTGTTACGTATTTCAGCATTTACTGTCAACAGGTAGAACACAGTTCCGATTCTTAAAACGATATGCCTTCTCTTTTATGATTGAAGGTCCTCAAAAGCTTAAACTGAGAAATGAGGAAGTGATTTAGAGTGCAAATAAAATTTTGTTAGGCTTTGAAACATGGCTTGTATTCTGGATACTGTTGATGTAAATGAAGAAGTTGTGTTAATACAAGTTGTAATTTTGTGTTCAAGTCTTGAAACATCTTGATTTGCTTTACACATTACAGTGCTATTTTATTTCTGTTCTGTTTACAGCTGATATTATTTCAACAGTTGAATTTAATTACTCTGGTGATCTTCTTGCAACAGGAGACAAAGGTGGCAGAGTGGTTATATTTCAAAGGGAACAAGAGGTAAGTAACTTGAAAAACAAAAGTGCTGTTACTACACTGTTCTTGTGTTGCACAGTCTCACTTCATCTTTTCATGCCATGAGGTTTAAATGGTTGGATAGTTTTCTCAGAAAACCCTAAGGTAGCCAGATTTCTAAGTATCTGCCTTGTGCTGAACTTGGTGGTTCCCATCCCCTCCCTTCAAAAAAAAAAAAAAAAAAAGTCCCAAAAATACAAGTGAGTTCTTTATATATGTACCTAGTATGCTCAGTATCATTTTGCAAAATTGCCTTTGGATTTTCTCCTAAACTTTACACTTGGTCATATTGATCTAAGACAAATCATAGTGCTTTTGAAGATAAGGTAAGGAAAGTTTATAAAAAAGGATCCAAGTTAAGCTGCAAGGACAACAGGATAAGATGGTTCAAAAATTGAAGAATTAAGCATGAATCAAAAACATTGGGAACAGCTACTTGTGCAGAAACACTTGAGCATTTTCAGTTCAGAGGGTAGGAAGACTCTTCCTCCTACAATTACGCAGCTTTTCAGCTGGCTCTTCGCAATGGTATTCAGTTATGTGATAATGCTATGAAATATTCTGTCCATTCATCAATGCAGATATATCACTGAGCTTTTTATATCCAGAGAAATAGTGAGTATTGGAAAAGTTCACTAAAAGCTGAAAAATAATTGTTATGCCTTGTCATGTCTGGGAGAAATGTGGAATTGTCTTCTTTAAAAAGGTGATATTCCTCATGGCAATTATCCTCTCCCCTGCCACTGAAGAGCATGTTTCTCCTTTCCTTTGAAGAGCTGATGAGAATTTGAGCCTTCACCTGGATCAGAAACACCAAAATTGATCGTGGAATTTTAATTCAGCTTGTTTGTACATGAAGTATACTAATCTTTAGGTGCTGTGGTTTTTCTCAGCAGAATCCCACTTCTTTTGTTGTGTGGTTCAAGTGATGCTCAGTTAATGAACAGCTATCCAATATTTTGCTTTTCATCCTCACCGTGATACTATTTATGAAACATTTTACCAAAGGTGACTTACCAGTTTTACTGAGGATTTTGAGAGCTAGTGAAATGAAAATACTATCACTGAAAAAGCTACTGAAATATTATACTACTACACCTAGACAGCTCATAGCTCATTTATCATTTAGTCTGCTGTATAGACTTAACTAAGGCACAGAGAGATCAAGGTCAAAAGTGTCCACCTGCTCAGGATCTCCGACTTTCTTGATGCTTGTTTAGAGTGGAACTATTATTGGTTGGCTTTCAGCTGTTAGTGCTCAGTTGTTCTGTAAGTCAAAACCCAGCTGTCACATCATTTCCTCGCAGTATGAAAAAAAAACAAACAAACAAACAAAAAACAAACCCCAAACAAGTCAGACTATTCACACAGGAATATTCAACTGTCTTCTTGGGACCACAGGCAGACTGTAGGGAAGAGTTGGGTACAAGGGTCATTTCTCTTGTCATGTGCAAAACTGCAGAATTTCTGGAGTGGAGGAAAAAGTCTAAAATAAGTATATAATACTGGAACCTCAATAAAATCTTACAACAAATATTTTTAACAGTCTGGATTTTAGACTAGGCTAACTACATTAATAACAACTTAGGATAGTTATAAAATTTCCCATATACTTTAATTTGGGAAGGTGGGCTGAAATGTTGTGCGTCATGCCCTGAACTCATATGACATTATTTCAGTTCCAAACAGCTGATTATTCCAACCAAATGTGTGAGTAAAGAGTGAGACCACTGCCTAGTGCCAGAAAAGGCAGCTTGCTCAAAATGCGGGTGGCTAGGTAAGTAATGTAGATAACTATACTGAATAGTGTTAGTTGAGAGGATCCTGTCCAAAATGCTTAAAAGTTAAATGACAGGTAGGGGGTAAAATAATGTAAAGCCTCAGAATTAACTAAACTCCATACTTTTGAGACATTGCAGGAGAAAAACCTAGCTGAAATGACCTTATCAAAGTTGCCAAGTCAAGCGTGGAAGCGTAAGGAAGTGTCAGAGCAAAGGTTGCCTTTGCAGCCTTATGTTGGCCTGGTAGTCTTCAATGACGTGAGCCACTACTGTTTCTTCCACAGTAACATACTGTCAATTAGTGTGCAGGGTAGGTTTCTCCTGCACTGATTCTTGCCTACCTTTGCAAGTGAGGGATTTGCTGCTTTTCAAGTGAGTGATTTTCGATTGTGTTTTGGGGGGGTTGTGTTGGTTTTTTTTCAGAAGTTCTGGGCACTGCAGCTCTACAAGTGGGGCTGTTCTCCAAACATGAATCACTATCTAACATTAACTTATTTGAAAAGCCTGGTAACTACTTGCCTCAAATCTGATATTGCAGTCTGTGGATACTTGTGACTTTGATCTCTGTTCCTTGCTGCCGCGACCTACCAAATGAGGTTAATACAAAGCAGTCTTCTAGTTCTGTGAGGGGAAAAGTTGTTAGTGTATTTGTAATAGTCTTTGGTACATCATGATGAGCACTATAGAACAGCTTAGATGAAAATGTGGTAATTCCAGCCTTCAAGTTTTTATAATAAAAAAGTTGTCGAAGCCTAATTGTAAGTCTTGATACCACTTCTGGACACAGCATGTTTTAAAATGAGTAGGAGAAGAGCTGGATCTAATGGTCATACTTGATCTTGCTGTGCCTTCAGCAGAATGACTTTGTGCAATCATGTTTTTATAAAAAACATAATTAATTACTCCATGTCCCATGTCCTTTAACATTTGTTTCCTAGTCTGGAAACCCTGCACTATGTCCATATTGTGGTGATTAGAGGACTGAGTTTTGGAAAAGGGCAGGAAAGGAGATTAGGTGAAGTGCAGAAACTAATTACATGGAATTGGTGGTTTAGGATTTAAGACATAGCTAACTTCTCTGCTCCGATTCTGTTGAAACCGCTTGGGAGAGGTAGCGTAGCCTGGAACTCTTCCAAGCAAACACAGGAACTCCTTTGCACACAGCGTGCCTCTTTAAAGTGCCTTGATATGCTATGTTTTATGAGTACACACGTGTCAATATATAAAGATACGTTTTTAAAAAGGAAGTCCGTGTGCACTATATTGATGCTAAACTAGGTACAGGATCATAGAGTAAAAATGTAAAATTCATCAAGATCTGTTGTAAAAAGTTTACTTTCTAATTGACAATTTCTGGTCATTAGTTTGTATGTACAGTTCCTAATGAGCCGAGTAATGTCAGCTTTAAGAAATACTATGTTTCCTTGCAGAATAAAAGCCGTCCTCATTCTAGGGGAGAATATAATGTTTACAGTACCTTTCAGAGTCACGAACCTGAGTTTGACTACTTGAAAAGTCTAGAAATTGAGGAAAAAATTAATAAAATTAGGTGGTTACCACAACAGAATGCTGCTCACTTCCTGCTGTCTACAAATGGTAAGGACACTTTATTTTTGCAAAAATAACTTTTTATGTCATTTGAATATTATCTCACCTGTAATCCACTTGTGGGGGTTTTTTCTGGAGTGTTTTGGGGTTGTTTTAATGTCTTCTCCAATTACATGCAAAATGTGTTTTGATTGTAATACTTTGTAAGTTACTGATTTTTGAATGTAAAAATAATGAAGCAGCGACAGAATAGGCATAGTTAGAGCTGTGTTCTGTGGATATACTGACCATGCTATCAGTTTATGTACCCTGTCACTCTGCTTTATAGTTTTTGTATAAACTAGTTCTCAGTATGCTGAACTGTAGCAGAAGTCTGAATTTGACTTGATCATCCTAATTTTGAAATTTTAATTTTTTTGTGATCCCAGATGATTTTTTAATAAAAACATTTGAAATTGAAACACTGTGGTTACAATGCTCTCTTTGCTTTTCCAATACTAAAACATCATGTGTGTTTTGCAAAGCAACTGTTTAAAAGACAACAGTCATCTAGGAGGAGTATTTTTATACCATTTTCACTGTGTACCTTAGAATACATAAAAGCAGTGCAAAAATTACAAGTTGGAAATTACAAGTTTTTATGCACCTTTTTTTTTCTTTTTTTTTTTATTTCTTCCAGTATTTTAGTAGTGGTTATTAGGTATTAGGTCTGTTTCATTTTGATGCATCGTGGAGCAAGCTGTAAATATAAATGCGGAACTGTGCATGGAAAAACTTGCTCTTATTGTCAGAGGAATACACTTGTTCCTAACAGTTTGGATCACTTTTTGCCTTGTACTTAAATGACTTTATATAAGGGCTGATATCCTACCTGCTATACAAAATTTTAAAAGCAGGAATGACTTCTGTCTACTGGACTTTGAAATTACAATAGTCTTACTTTGATATAAGTCTTACTAAACTTAAAGCAGTCTTTAAACCATGTCATCTTAAATGCTTTAAAGATATGCAGTAGTTTGGGGAGGAGAGGTTTGTTTCCAATTAGCTAAGGATCTCACCCTTGGTGTATACTGACTTTCTGCACTTGGAAAGACTCCCCCTAGTAAGACCTGGGAAGTACATGGCTTTGGATGTGGAGCCCTAAAATACAGGGGCAAGTCCTGTTCTCACTTACCACCCTTGGCTGTCTCTTAGCAGACACCTGGGATAAACTTGGATTTCCTTAAGGTAGGTAGTATATGTAATTCATAGGTTTGTTGGGGTTTTTTCCCTAGCATTTCTCTCTTAAAAATAATTTAGATAGTCATACAGGGCTTATTGGTGAATTTTGGTAATTGGTGTGTGAAACTTCCCTTGTGAAGGGTCATTTTGGTGAATGGTAGGCATAGGGCCTTACTGTTCAGGCAGAAACTTGTATTTTATTCAAACTGAACATTACATTGGAGTTAAAATGGAATCCATCTTTTTTTCCTCTCCATTTACTGATATTTTGATGTATTTCCCATCTGCACCCTCCAAGTGCATGTGGCTGGTGTATTTTTTGTTTGTTTTTCACATATCAATTCTGCTAAACAATATAGCTGAAGGCAGAGTACTTAAAGGATATGTAGGGAGGGCTGTACTCCCTATTACGTTGTTGTTTAAAGGACTCCATCAGGATCCTTTCTGTTGCAAGCAGCGGAAACCTAGATAGATAAATAATATCCACTCTGCTGACTCCATTGTTTAGTGATTTTATTTTGAATTTAATTCATTCTCAAGCATGTGAATTTTTGGTTTTAGATAAAACTATTAAATTATGGAAAATAAGTGAAAGGGATAAAAGAGCCGAAGGTTATAATTTAAAAGATGAAGATGGAAGACTTAGGGATCCTTTCAGAATCACAGCACTACGGGTATGTTTCTGCTCTTTGACTTCAAATATCTTTTTGCATGTACTTCTCTACCTTTGTACTACCAAAGTTGTCAACTGAAATGTGTAGATTAAAAATGATGTTTTGGTCAGGGTCATTGAAATCTTATAAAAAAAATGGAGACACATCATTACATATCTATATACTATTAAATAAGGTTCCTCTGGAAAACTTGAGGCAAACTTTCATGATTATACTATCATATTATTAGCTTCCCAATAGTTTGTTGATATTTTTTTTTTTTTTTTCTTGGAACATCTTAGCATATTTAAAATGGATTTGAAATTTAAACTTTTTAAAATTTTTTTGTTAGAGACAGCCTTCATCCACCTCAGTATATTCAAATTGTAGAATAAGATACACTGATTTATTGACAGCAATAAAATGTAACAAACTGTTGTTATTCAAGCCTGAAAATACAGCATTTTGGAGTATCTCTGGCTGGAGCTGCACTAGTCTATACTTAATTCATAGAAGCATGGACTCATCCTGCTGTGTTCTTAAAATAGTCTAACGTCTTCATGCAACGTGAAGAAAAGTGCAGGGAACACATTTATTTCAAAGACCCATAACATACTGACTTCTCTTCCTGGCTGTGACTAGTCAGTAGAGGATAATGCTGTAGTGTCTGTGCCGGTCACTAGTAAGGAGTAGTAGGTGCCCAGATTAACCTTGATATCCTCCCTGAGTGCTGCTTTTTGAAACTGGCAGGTAGGGTCCTTCTGTTTGGCTTAAAGCACGTGTCATTGTGAATTTAGGAAGAATTTGGCTTTGTATCGATAATGGTTTTTTTTTCCCTCAGTATTGCTCATATTTATTTAACTTGTTTGGCCTTTTTTCTAAGAGCAAGACTAAAAAATTTAAACAAGGTGCTGGTTATTCTATGGTTATTCTAAGTAGAAGGTGGGTTTGTTAGAGGCAAATTCTGAGCATTTGGAAAACCTGATATGTGCTTGAATAGTCTTGACATTTTTCCACTTGCGTAGGGATGTAGTAGGAGGGTTAGTGCTCCAAACATGGGATCATTTAAAGCAGGAGCTCAAGAAATGAAATCATGTGGGGCTGGGGTTTTTCTTGGGGTTTTATGTTGTTGTTAACCATAAATAGGAATCAAACTGAGGCTCTCACTACTTTCAAAGCCAATGCCACTCCTGACACTTGTAGGGACTATACAGTTGTGGGTTTTTGTTGGGTTTTTTTTTGCCTTGCTTTTGCTTAAATTGAATATTGAACTGAAGCTTTAGGTATACATAAGCCTAATGCATAATCATGTTGGGAAAGGATAGCCACTTCCTCTGCAAAGTGTCTTTCTATTCAGCGTGTGGGAACCAAGATCTGATTGAGTATTCTAGTGAAAATATCTAAAACCAAGGAAATTAATTATGATACAATGCCTTAGCCCAGTGGCTGGAAGTAGGTATGGATGAAATTTTGGGTTCTACAACCTTGCCTTTATGTAGCGGTAGACTACCCGTCTGGGAACATGGAGAGTCCAGAATACGGCCTAACGGTTTTACAAGGTATGGGCTATATCACTGAAGGAGTACATTAGCATCTTCTTTAAACACTGTAATATATTTAGGAATTGTCAAGCTGAATGGGGGGAAGCAACAAAAAGCAAGAAGCGCTCTCTTAAAAGTTAGTCTTCTAAATTTGCTGCTTTTCTGGGAAAGGAAGGTTGGGCTGAGCTGCAGAGCTTGCCAGGCACTACATCTTACAAGAAGAGATGATGGAATGAACCAAGTCTGAGCAACAGTTGGCAGAAGGGGAAAAAACCTTGCCTAGAGTTACCTCCATATGTTAAAATGATCAGGTTTTAGAAATCTAGAGTGTGTGTACCTTGGGCTTTTATGGGTTTTGTTTGCATATTTTGTTACAGAAATAGAATCCCCATTTGTTTATAAAGGAGTAGACATGAAGGAGAAGCAGCACTTTAGAGCTGCATCCCTGTGCATAGTGAGCATGGCATTTCTAAGTACCATACGTGATAATTGACATTAATGTATTTTTGATTTCACAACCAGGCTAGGAGCACTCATGTGGTAAGATAGGAAAATTGCCTAATAAAAAGTAATAGATTAATTTTAATCATTACAGTTTGATGTAAACAGACTGTGAGATACAAACATGGTGAGAGCAATTACAGAGCTCTTGGATTAATTTGTTTCTTGTTCCAGGAAGGGAGATTATCTTGGACACTGTCATAACTTTTTTTCTTGGTTGGATAATGTAAGTTAGTGTTCTGTTGAATTGTATGTACTGGAACAGCATAGGACGTCCTTGGGCAACCTTAAACTATTCACTTGCTGGTCAGTGAGAAAGAGCTAGAGGGAAGCTTAGCCCACTTGACCCTGACAAACCATGTCACACTTTAGATCATGTAGTTGTGGAAACAGGGCATCCATGTGTTCCTAAAATTGTACTGACTGTTCAGTTAAACAAATGTAAAGATTTCTTTGCAAACTGTTCTTGCCAATTTCACAAGCACCCCTCTCAGATATGGGGGTCATTTTTAAGTGCTTGTTTCAAATTAACATAATCTTCAAATATCATTATAATCGTACACCATTTTTGTGTTGGATGAAGTACAAAGCTGCTGTATTTGACAGGTAACTTCTGCAGAAGTCAGTGTCTGAGGTTTTGTGTTGGTAGTGTGCAAACTCAGCATTCATAGGCTATTTTATTACTTTTCTTGCTCAGTGGTTTTGAAAATGTTCAGTCACTAAATCAAAACAGAAATGTGTGGTATGCAATTAATTAATATCTTCTGAATCAGAAACCAGTTTTATGCCAAAATTGACTGTTTGTTTTCATGTTTCAGGTGCCAATATTGAAACCCATGGACCTAATGGTAGAAGCAAGTCCCAGAAGGATATTTGCAAATGCACATACTTATCACATAAACTCTATTTCAGTAAATAGTGATCATGAAACATACCTTTCTGCAGATGACCTAAGAATTAACCTATGGCATTTAGAAATCACAGATAGAAGTTTTAGTATCCTTTTTTTGTTCTCTGTGAACACTGGGGCACATCCAAGTTGTGTATGCTTAAGAGAATCACTTTAGTTTTACTAATTAGAGTAGGTGTTTAAATCTAGGGATTAAAATACAGGATTTTAAAATCTGGAGGTTTAATACAGTGAAAGCAGGCCTTAGGATGCTCTCATACATTCTTGAGGGCAAGCATTCTTTCAATGGAAAACTGCCAGTAGAAATATCATAGATTGATTTCTAAAGAGAAATTGAGGAATTTGGGGAGCATCCTTTATTTGTGGAGTTCAGTCAACTTAAGAGTTGAAAAATTTGAGAAGTAGATCCCTTGTTACTGTAGATACTTCTTTCCAAAGTTTAAGGTCTCTTAACTGCCTAAATGACACTTCTCTTAAAGAAAACAAATGTCCATTTTTTTTAATGTCAAATGATATCATTAACTGCAGAAATAATTTTCAAATCTTTTTGCAAGCCTGTGTATCCAAAACTAGTAGTATGTCCTAAATTGGCAAATCTGCAGTAAAATAAAAGTTGCAGAAATACTGAATATTAAATAGGACATATGCAAGTTTTCTAAAGCTTTAGGTAAACAGATGAGGTATATTCAGTGTTCAGTAGGAAGCATTAAGAAGGAGGCTTGAGAGGAGTCTGAAATTATCTCTAGCATCTGTTAAAGTTGATCTGTAAAAATTATTGGTTTTTTTTTTTAATCTACTCAGGTCACTTTAGTTTGTGTAGATTGCACACAGTGGAAATTAAGATCTTGCCCTAGTTTTCTACATGGTATTTTTAACATTTTTCAATAATTATCTGCTAGAAGTGATTTGAATGTGAAATGTTACATGCCTTTACAAAAACCTTCCCAGATATTGTAGATATTAAGCCTGCTAACATGGAGGAGCTGACAGAAGTGATTACTGCTGCAGAGTTCCACCCTCATCACTGTAATGTGTTTGTCTATAGTAGTAGCAAAGGAACTATTCGACTCTGTGACATGCGTTCTTCAGCCCTCTGTGATAGGCATTCAAAATGTAAGTTAGGACATGTCTTTGGTTTATGGGTGTCTTGCTTTGTTTTCATGCAAGATAGAGTGTATAGGTGTTCTGCTTATTGGTAAAGAGCATACAAGGTAAGGGGTGGTAGTTTTGTAGAATGGAACATTTTAATTGTCTTGTTCTAGGCCCTCAACAAGCAGAAGTGTAGCATGAGACAATTGACGATCTGACTCTGCTCCTGTTTACCCATTTATGCATCATAAACTGATGGGAACAAGTGCTTTTGGCACCAGTGAGACCTGTCTTCTGTCCAGACTCAGTCTTGGTGCTTCTCAAAGGTATCTGCTTATCAAATGCCAGTTTAGGGCAGTTTATTCACCTTTGTGCATTAGAAACTGGGCTGATGCTGCCAGAATCCATTTACTTCGTGACCATTTGCAGCTCCTAGGATAGAATTAATTCTTAAGAATATGCGCTGCGTTTGAAGCGAGTTTGCAGGGGTGAAAGGTGAATGCTCGTTGGTCTGCTGAGCCACGTAAACTTACGTAGGTGAGGAAAGCTTTTCTGTTGAAGTCATAAGGATAACTGCCTGTGCCTTGCACGCAGCCTCTTGTTTCTTGTTCGCTACTGTAATAGTTGTGGTTTATTAGTATTACTAGCCCTGTGGGGTGATATACCATACTGATATTTGCAGGTAAGCTTTCTATAGTGCAGATAAGGTTTTCTTGTTGGTGGAAGGAAATATTTGTGCAATGGGAAATGTAGAATGCTAAGCCGCTTCATCTATTTGACTTTGTGTTGCATTAAATTACTTAGAAGCACTCTATTTTTTAACTGCTTGTGACTGAATAACATCCTGTTAAAAGGGGTCTATTCAAAAATGAAATAAATAGTTCTGGGTAGCTTGTGTCATGAAACATCGATTTCAAAGATTGACTCTTCAATTTAAATAATGCATTTCTTTATCTGCTTTCTAAAACCATACGAATTGCATTTCAAGTGTAGATACTAATACTTTATTTCAGCAGGTTGTGTTGTACAACTTTTGTTCAGATCTAAAGAAAATTATGTTGTACAGTAGTCTCAAAATGCCTGGGTCATGCATTAAGATACTGTGTTTGGGATGTTGATGTTTTCATCTGCTCTTGTTCAACATGATTTGTAGATCAGTTGCAATGTTTACCATACCCATGGGTTGTTTTTTAGGTTTTTTTCTCTGATTCATCCCTAAGACCTGTGAATTGTAGTTTGCTGATGCTATGCTCTGGCTGAGACTGTTGGCGATAGTCATCAGATTGCTAGATGCCTAAGAGCATAACATTGTTTAAAAAGAGGTTATTTCTAAAAAGTATTTAAGAGCAACTTTCTTTAAAAAGAAACTAGTGTATGGATTTAAAACTTTCCAAGTATTGAAAACTGTTCAAAGCTGTAAGACTTGGTGTTGGTTTCATTTGTAATTGTGTCTTCTATCTACAGTTTTTGAAGAACCTGAAGATCCTAGCAGCAGATCGTTTTTTTCAGAAATAATATCATCGATATCTGATGTAAAATTCAGTCACAGTGGTCGATACATGATGACAAGAGACTACCTTTCTGTTAAAGTGTGGGATCTCAATATGGAAAACAGGCCTGTAGAGACATATCAAGTATGGTGTTCAAGTTTTCTTAAATATCCCTCCTTTCCCCTTTTCTTCTTTTTCTTTATATCTAATACCAATTTAAATGTTCCAAACAGGTTCATGAGTATCTTCGAAGCAAGCTTTGTTCCCTTTATGAAAATGACTGCATCTTTGACAAATTTGAGTGCTGCTGGAACGGTTCTGATAGGTAAGTTGGAGGGTTTATTTTGGTTTGGTTTTTTGTTTTTCCTTCAGCATTAAGAATTGGGTTTCCAGTATTGAAAGCCATAAACAGTACTTAACTTTAAGGATGTAATTAGCCGCATTCAAATCAACTGGGTTTGTTGGGGTGGTTTTGTGTGTGTGTTTGTTTTTTTGAAAAAAGAAGACTTCATTCTTCAATCCTCCACCCTCCAGTTGCAGAAGTGGAATATGCTTTTGTGTGTCAGTTTGCTTCTAATATGAATTGTTGTTGAAGTTTTATATAGTCAAGACTGGCCATTTCAAGCCATGAAAATGTGACTCAGTTTCATTTTTAAAGTGTATATAAGAAATGCATTGTGTCTTATAAATCGAATCTTCTTTCCATGTTTTCTGTAGGCTAAAGAAGATAAAACTGTGTTAGATAATCACTCATATTTGTTGCAAACAGTAGAAATAATGTCTTGCCTCCAGGTTGTCAAGCATTATAATCAGATAGCAAAGCTACATATATTGGCACAAATGTTGCATATTTCCTGTCACTAGTGATGGTAATATTAGGTACCTGTTAAAATGCTTTCAGAAACCATGGATAAGATTGTGGCAGATCTGGATCTTACATCTGCATGCTTTATCTTGGCTTGCCTTGGGGATTCTTTTTTTTTTGTGGAAGGCTTGTGAAGATATCTGAAATACCTAAAACAGTGACTTGTCTGATACCAAATGCTTGCAAACTGTTCAATGAAAAGGTATCAGTTTTGATTTGATGGTAACAGGATCAGCCTGTGAAACAAGCTTTGGCCTAAGTCTATCAAATATTGGAAGAAGAAAAGATCCATCACATAGTTCAGATGGGGACAGTGATCAGGGAAGTCAAATCTTATAAGCTGTCCACAGGAGTCAGCAAAGGAAGTGAAACCTACCTACATTGCTATTGCAATGATAGTTGAGTTTGCATGTACTGCTACATGCCACTTGCATACTAATTTAAGTAAACAATATTAAAGAAAATTGGTTACTCTAAATACCAGGTTGCAAGTGGCTGAGGTTGCAATTGGCTTTGAGTTATTGAGAAGAGAAATACTGTGTCCGTCAGTTTACCAAAAAAAATTGCTAGCAATATTTACAGTATCTAACATAAAATGCATAAAAGAAGTGGTGTATGTTTTTCACTAAGCTAAAATGCAAAGAAACTGACCCTTATTTCTATGTGGTTTGGTTTTTTTCTTTTCAAGCAACCCCAGTCAGTCTTTTTTGGAGGACAGGGGGAGGGAGAATCGGTCAAAGCAAGGTCATCTCATTTGAACATATTATAAGAACATAAGTTGTCATGGAAGTTGTGATGGTCACCTCCCTTTGAAAAAGAAAAAAATATTTCACTCAGTGCATTTCCTAGGACAATCTGAGTGGTATATGTTGTGGTAATAGTATCTCATTCTCCTCCTAGTCATTAATTTTTTAATGCCACAAAGACAATGCGTATCAGCAAATAAGACGACAAGGGTGAGGTGCCTGTAATTTTAACAATCTGTGGGACTTCTGCCTTGTGGGAAGCGGCTTTTCAGTTTCAAGTGGTAGAGATAAGTGTTCAATATGGAAAATGACGACCAATTTGGCCTCACTTTCAGGCATATTTTTTGAGAGCTACAGACAAGCTGTTCTTTGGAAGTTAGATACATGAAAGCATTTTCAGATGCAAATTTTTCTCTGCCTTGTTCAAAAGCAAATTTGATACTGTACAGAAACTCTGAATTGTTTCTGCAGGGCTGCATCAGACATTTGCACAAGGGGCTTCTTTTACTGATTCAAGACAAATTTTTGTAATTAATCCATTGGCATGCTCATGGTCAACACGTGCACAGGGCAAAGGAAGGCACTTTCATTTGTGGTAATGAAGCAGTTTACAATGGCTTTGCTTCCACCATGACTTTTGTTGCCGCAGGATAAAAGGATAGAGTAGCAACGGGAAAACCCGCTTTGCTCACATTAAGATGAACAAAGCATAAGACTGCTGCTGAGTGCTGGTGGCAGGAGGTGGGAACCAGGGGAAGAGAAAGTGGTGGAGTGGAAGCAGCGCTGAAGTCCAAATGGAATTGAGCAAAGGTATACATCAGAGAGGAAGAGAGTGTAATGCCGCATACTGGTCGTGAAGTTGGTCTGATAGTCAGCTTGTGCGTAAGAGGGATAAGGTGGGGGTTGAATACTATTTCTGGAAACCTAGTAAGATTTGCCTTTCTTCTGCTTTTAAACAGTGCTATCATGACTGGATCTTACAACAACTTCTTTAGAATGTTTGACCGAAACACGCGACGGGATATCACTCTAGAAGCATCCAGGGAGAGCAGCAAACCTCGTGCCATCTTAAAGCCACGTAAAGTGTGTACAGGTGGTAAAAGAAAGAAGGATGAAATAAGCGTTGACAGTCTGGACTTCAACAAGAAGATTCTTCATACAGCATGGCATCCCATGGAGAACATCATTGCTGTAGCTGCCACCAATAATTTGTATATATTCCAGGACAAAATTAACTAAAGATGACTTACTTGAGGACAGAGTCGTCGTCTTGCATAGTTAAGCTCATTTGTTTATCTGTAAAAGAGAAGGCCTTGTTGTCCTACCAGTGAAGAACATTGATGCACTTACTTCCCTTTAGATAAAGGAGAGGATCTGGCCTGGTTTTTGAGTTCATGGTGTAGTTCTGCCTTCGGTGGGGGTAGGGAACGTCAGTCACAATTTTCTGGGAGAAACCCTCTAGAGGCAGAATTGATGGACAGTGCTCAAAAGGCCAATACTCAAAACAAATGTATTTATTTAAGTCTGAGCCTTCCTTTCCAGTTTATAGACCAAAAATTTAACACCCAAGAAGAAAAATTGTCATAAAAATGTAATTTCTATCTCTTGCGCTCTTTCTCTGCTGTAATATTTGGGCCTTTCAAAACATATATTGTGCTTAATGCCTGTAAACATTCCTCCTCTGGCCTGTATCTAGGCTTAGGTGTTTTTACCTTTGAGCACTTAGGTAGGTCTTGAGTTGGGTTCGTAGACAGGTTTCCATGAATATTTACTCACCAACTGTATCTATAACCACACCTTCTGGTGTAAACCACTTAATAAAATAACAAACTATAAAAACTGTTTTTAAATCTGAAGGTATGTATTCAGTCTTTTTATTTTTTTATTGCATGTACTGAGATTGTGCAAAATAATCCTGATGGGCAGATTTGACAATGTTTGCCCCAAAACATTGATTTTTGGCAGACTAATACAAACTTTTTTGTGTAGTATTTCAAATTCTAAATTTAGAGTTTCCATGAAATTGTCATTTAGTTTAAGTTGCACTGGTTTTCTTGTAACACTATTTGTGTACCAAGTAGGAGATTGAAAAGGTTAGTATAAAGACATCCACAGCCTTAATAGAAAGTGACCACCTTGCACAGAAGGGAAAACAAAACACTGAACAGATTTTCTTCTTTGAAGATAAAAATTCAGTTTATCTGATGCCTCTCAATGTTAGATAGAGACATACCTTACGTGCATTATGTTTTTTAACCTTTTTAGTATTTGTCATGAAGATATAGTTTATTTTAAATATTTGGCATAATATATTGTATTTCAGATTGCAGTTCAAGCCAGCAAAAAAAACCAAACCTTTCTTAATTATGCCAAGCAGCAACGCAGCTTAATAGACTTGGGCACGTTCCGACTTTAACATGAAGATGTAGGAAAACACTGAGGCCACGAGCTGGTGTTAACTGCGGTTGTTGTAACTCTGTTCTTGCTAACTTTTTTTTTTTTTAAGCCTTAGGTACTTTTTTTTCCTTCCCCCCCTCCTCCTCCAAAGAGGCCTAAAATGCATCAACCTTCTCTTCAACCCTAGACTAGCCTGGGTGAGAAACTGTTCCTGAAGCTGTTGCAGCACATTTTAGTAGCATCAAGTAGCTAGACGTTACACTCTATGAAATGTGCCTGCAAATTAGAAATTCTTGCTGAAAAACAAGATCCCCTGAGCTTCCCAGAGGCAATACAGAAGTGTGGTTTACACTCCATTTTTCTTAAAATGAAGGTGTATTATGATTATGGAATCAGATCTGCATATATAAGAGCAAAATGTCTCTATTCTTACCCTCCCGATCAATGTCCATAGAGTGCCACTCTTGTTCACAGTAAGCTAGTAAGTACAACTAACTTTGAGGTTCTACAAATAAAGTTTAAATTAAAAAAAAAAAAAACCTTATACTGTATATTGGTTGTGACACTATTTGAAAATCTTGAAATGTGGAACTTCTGGGTCACTAAAGCGTTAGATTTGACCTTGTTCCTAAAATACATAATAGAGCTAATACAATGGGATTGTACATACTTGTTCAATTATTTTGACCAAAAAGTTTAATAAATTTTAAATGTTTACCTGGACTTGCTCTGTGTATTTTGACAACTTTTTCTTCCGTTTGTTAGGTAATTGGCCAAATGAGCCAACCTGAAGATTGTTTGTATTTCCATTTTAAATGATTAGTTTTTGAATGGTCATACCTCTAACTCAGAAAGTTGTCTGTTCATATTCAGTGAATATATTAGTGCTGTCTATTTTTGATCTATTTTTTCAGCAAATGTAAGTGGAATATGAGTAAAAAGAAAAAGGATATGATGAAATCTTCTATTATATAAAACATGATTTGCTTGTACCACTTTCAATTAAATAGTTTTTGATGATTCATGAAATTTTTATCATTTCATTTTATCTAAACCCAGATTTTATTGTCAATTCGATAAAATTACTGTTTTTTCAGATACTTGCCCCAAACCATCCTTGACTTCTGGGACCAGTTCAAGAGCATTGCGCTACTCGCACATGCAATACCCCGAATGGTTGACTTCCAGGAGATTGAGCGTCTTGTCGGTAACACGTGGCAGGGATCTTGTGTTAGAGATGCAGCACGGGGCTTCCACATGTGAAAAACCCCTATGGGTGCCTTCTGACAGGCTGTGTGGGCTATGTGCAACACACAGATACCCTGTTCTGCAAGTATTTCCTAGCAGCAAGGTAACTGCAGGCCTCAGCTGTTTTTGAGGAAGTAACTGAGGAGAGCAGAAGTTGTCTGTACTAGAAATTAGAGGTAAGATTTTTTTGAAACGTGTTTTTAAAGTCACTTCCTTTGGTACAATGAATCCTTAATGCCCCGTTAACTAGGGCTGAAGCAGGCGCTGCGTATGGGAGGCAGTTTCTGTAAACTTGAGGGAGAGTTTTGTATGTAATCCTTGCTTCACAGAGCTTGTGCATGTGTTTTAAATCGGCGTAGTTGTTCAGTGAGCAGAAAGTGGGCATCTGTGGTAACTGTAATCACCGGTTACAGGATGAAAAAGTGTTGGGAGAAGATGAACCGCCCTCTCAAAGGTCTGCTGCTTCCTCTCGGGGATGGGTTTGGAAATTGCAGGAATGGGATTTAAGATTAAACTCTGAATTCCATTGTCATTTTACGCTGAGCACAAACACACAGATTGAGAGAGTCAGACTTCCTCATGGAAATGCCGAGTGACTCCAGAAAAAACATGTCGGGAAAGTGAAGTAAAGTAAGAAATGGGGGGGGGTGTATAAATACAGCCCTGGGGGCTCTGCTGAGGGCTGGGGGCTTTGGCACTGACGCACAGCAGTTTCTGAAGAGCGGGACCTGGAATCGGCGCATCCGGGGATCAGCTCCTGCCCCTGTGCCGGTGGCTGTCGATGTGCCGGGACTGAGGGTGGTGAGGGGTGGTGCGTGTGGCTGAAGGACAGCTGAAACACATTTTACAACCTGATGAAATAAAATGTGCTTCCTTAGAGTTCAGGCACTTAATTTGTCCTTCTAATTTCCTGGGGAGAGGAAATCAGGAGGGGGTGAGGGAGCTCTCCAGCCCTTGCCCAGGCTCCCTCCCCGCGGTTGGAGAACAGTGACGTTTGTGACTGTGAGCCACGCAGGGCATGGTTCTGTGTGGTCTGTGATCTCTCCTGTGAGGTGGCCATCCTCCAGACTAATCTGGTGTTTCATGTGTTATGTGCTAGAACGCTATTTTTAGGCTCCAAAGTCAGAAATTGTTTCTGTCGAGCTTTTGACCAAAGGTCTTTGTTCTGTACCCTGCCCAAAGGCTGTATCTAGAAATGAAGTCACCTTTCAGACTCCCTGGCAGGCATGCAAGGACTTTCCCATGGAACTGCCTGGTCCTGGAATTACAGAAGGGGGGTGAGCAATATTTTCCTATGCCCATGATTACCCCTGCATCACCAAATAAAACCTGGCGTGGTGGGTTTGGGGTTTTTTTTCTCTCTCAAACTGTTTCCAGCTCCTGGCTGTTGGAGCAGTTCTGGCAGCAGCTCTCTGGAGGCCAGTGTTTGGGTTGGGGGACGATCCCCCAACTCCACAGATGGGACCTGGGAAGATGAGCAAGCGTTGTCTCGTGAGCAGGAATTAATAACCCAGCAGCCACCGGGTATCCAGCTGTGCTGATGGCCTGCAGCCAGGAGCAGGAACCCCAGATGTCCGAATTCACAACATGTACTTGAGGTGAACGTTTAGGGAATTAAAATGCAGTGAGGTGGCTGCTGCCGGATCCCTCCCCTCGCAGACGGCATGGGAGCCAGCAAGGGGTTTACGCTGAGGGGTGAGGGGGGAAAGGGAGGGCCAGTCTTGCATCTGCTCAGCATGATGCAAATTTGTTCATCAGCTGTAGATAAAATACTTGGGGGTTTGTTGTCCTGTTCTTTGCATCCAGGGTTTGTGAAGGGCAGAAAGGGCCCCGTGCTCACCAGGCCGGGTAAGAGGAATGAGCCTGACTCTTCCCTGCTCCAAGTGATGGTGATGTGGTGTCTGAGCCGCTCCAAAGAGCGAGCTGTAACTCGGAGCAAACGCCCGTGCGGCTTTTCGTTGATGCTGAGCGCTGGGCAGCATGTGGACACGCAGGTGGCTCTGGCCATTGGTGTCCCATTAACTCACTTTTGATGTAAAGGTCTTTTCCTGCCTTACACCAAATTTGATCCAAACTCTGGTGGTGCTTACAAAACTGGTGGTAAGAAGCTACGTTAAGCCTTGATGAGTATGAACTTCACAGGCTCATTTGAGCAGACAAGCATCTGCGTGTGGCTGAGCTGCTAACGGGGGAACAGCTGAAGGTCCCCTGGGGTCTGGCTGCTGGGGGACACTTGGGAGGAGGCAGCTCTTGCGCTGCGGAGCTCTCCCTGGGCTGGGGGTCTGTGCCACTCCAGGTGGTGTTCATAAGTGGCTCCTGGAAGGAAACCTCCACCTCCGTGCAAACTGCGGGGTGTGAGGAGTCTGCAGAGAACAGAAACTGGTTTTGCAGCAAATGCCCTCTGTTGCAGCATCCTTGAAAGCTTCAGTCTGAGAGCTCAGCTTCTCTCTTTACCTTTGCTGGCTCTTGATGGAGGCCCTTGTACATTGAGCTTACCCAGACACTGGCCCTCCTCGCAGCCTCCTTTGTGGTTATAAATAGCGTGTGCGATGCATCCCACGTGTCCCAGAGCTGTCAGCTTGGCCTCTGACTCTGCTCGTTGCTGCTGAGGATTACTTTCCGCTAGTAGAGCAAAGCATGCTGAAATGCAAAGCTTTAAACCCAGGTAGAGAAAATGCTTTAAGACTGCAACGAACTGATTGCTGCTCTGGAGCAAGAACAGGTTTCTGCTGCAAGCCTTGAGAGCCTTTGGTGATACCTACATGGGACTCTAGAAAATGCTGTGATCCGTAACAATTCTCTCGTGACTTTCTTTTCCTATTTGGTAAGTTTTTAATACCACAGTTTCACTGACCATATTTCTTGTGCAAAAGCACACAAGCCCTCGGTGTGCCCTGAGCTGGCTGCTGCTGTCATGAGCCTGCTAAGCCTGAAAGCAGTCAGACCATGACGAGCTCAGCTTTGAATAGGGCTGGCTGCCTCCTGCAAGCCTGTGCCCCTGCTGAAGCTCTGCTGTGCCAGCCCAGGCTTCCTACCCTGTGCCTGTGGCTGGTGTCCTCCTGTCTGTCCTTCGGGCTAGGTCTGCCCGCAGTGGGGAGGTGACCCTGGCAAAGGGGACCCTCCCCGGGGAAGGTGGAGGGAGCTGCAGACACCTTGGGTCCACAGCTGGAAGCACAACTGGGAATGAGGTTTGTTAAATGAGTTATGATGAGTTATATTCATTCGTGTGTCTCTAAAAAGATAAAGCTCCTTGGACTGGAACTGTGCTGTACGTAAAATGGTACTTATTTATGCTGTGACCTCTTATTTTTTTAAAGAAAATAAGTTTAGTTGCAAAATTGACTGAATTTTCCATTTCCCCTGGTATGAAGTGTGAGGATCAAACAGCTTGAAGTCTTCAGTGCAGATTTTGTCAATATCTAGCATATTAAGGCAGTACTGGGCCATTTCTTTCAGCATTTGTATTTCTTTTGGACTAGTTGTCCACTGCTTCCATGGCTTTAGCAAAGCCTGTGCACTTTAAAGCTGTTTTAAAAAATTGATAACTGTGAAATTTGCATGAGGCATCTATTACAGAAATCAATGTTGAAGACACAAAGGCAAAAGGCTGACATTTGACCACAGAAAACTGATGTAGCTCTGTAAGAATGCCTTGACCAATAATTGGATAATGATGTCCAATAGTTTAAATGCACCATGATGACTAGGGTTTGGGGTTTTTTTAATTAACTTTGCTTCTTTCCATCATGTTAAAAATAATTATTACATATACAGTGGTTCAGCTTGGATCAGGGCAGCCTAAGAAGTTGCTGCCATAAGCACAAACCTCTGATACAGATGTTGACTGTCTGATGTTCTTCTAGGTGTTTCACACATTGTTTTTTCTGAAATGGGTAATCATCACCTTGGGCATGTCATAGAAATATGGTGGAGAGTGGGCTGAATGTGGTTTTCTGAATGATGATCCTAAAAATGTGGATAAACAGAGTGCTAATGGCTGTATGATACTTGGGTAGTGGAGCGCTGACTACCCAAGTACAGCGTTAGCACCCCTGAGTACACCTTGCTGCTGCGTTCTTGATGAAATATAGAGAATCACAGTCCAGATTATCCACAGAACAAGTATCTATATTTATTACCTTCAACTTTGTGATAACTGAAAATGGACAAACTATTTCTGCTTGATAGCTTTAGAAAAATTATCATGCACCTACACATGCACTCTGAAAAAGCTGCTGAAACTATATTCATCCCCTGCAAGATCAGGGACGGAGGATCAGTTCCTCAGAGATGATTATGCATGTAATTCTAATTAAAACCAATGTAAATTAAGAATGAGTAAGGATGAAATGTGTAACTACCTCTAAAACCCTTGTTCATTGTGCCTAAGCTGAAAAAGTTGACCGTCTGCAAAGGTCTGCGGAACAAGAGACTGAGATGACTTTTCTGCTGCCTTCCTTCTCCCCGTTCCTG